TATTTTCTTAGGTTTAAGGGAAATTGATTTTTAGTAGTTGTTTTGTTTTGTAAATTTACGGATAGCTTATTGAAAGTATAATAGTTAGTTTGAGCTTTTTGGTGACACATGGCGGTGTGTAAGTTCAGATTTTTGAGGTGTTTGAGCTTTTAAGTTTATCAAAGTGGCGCATAATATCGATCAATGTAGTACTTTTGACAAAGTCATACATGTAAGTTATTTCCAGTCTCCAAATAAATGTACATTACAAAGATATGGTTCTCCAAAATTAGCAGCTTTGTTGACTACAAGTGCCTTAAGCTGTGATCTTTGGTGGCTTCCTGATCAATGTTGCTTGTTCGAAGCCATAAGCAATCTCAATGAGCTTTGGCTCTGAGAATCTCAGTCCTCCAAAGCTAATCCCAAATGGAACTCCTTCACTGTTATATCCTGCAGGGACATTGATTCCTGGATACCCACCAATGGCGAGGACAGGGCTAATCGTCGAACCAAGCATAACTATTGCATCTAACTTCTTTTCCTTCATTAGCTTTTCGATTCCATTCCTCGAAAGTTCTTCCATTTTTTGCAACGCTGCTTTCTCATTCTCACCCATTCCATTGGTTGATTCTGCTGCAAGGAACACCTCTTGCCCCCATTCTTTCACCTTTTCCTGTGTGTTTTTTGGCAATTCGATGAAGCGTTCGCTCAAAACCGAAAAAGGTTGAACTAGTTTTATAAGCTTAGTACTTACCTTTTCAGCGAATTCTTCGTTGTAGGCAATAACATCTGCTAAGGACCGGACTGGTGATTTCACAAGCTCTTTAAGATATGCATTGAGAGACATCTTGAACTCAGCCAAAAGTGGTATCGCTTCACCACTCTTAGTCCAATCCATAATGACTTCGATGTTTGGTATCGTTAAATTGTCAATGACGATCGCGCCTTCTCGTCTTCATTGAAGAAAAAGCAGAGCTATAATTAGAGATGTTGTTCTTGATTGATTTGATTGATGGAATCAACTTGAGACAAAAACTTACCTTAATGTTTCTATGTGATGATCAAGATGAGAATGTTTCATTACAATCCCTAATCTCTTACCTTTGAGGCCACTAGCTGACAGAAACTGCTTGTAACCGCCTTCGGGTATAAATTCGGATGCGGACTTTGTGGCTTCGTCTAAGGGATCATAACCAACAATAGCATCAAGGAGATGAACAGCATCCGAAACTGTCCTACAGATCGGCCTAACATAGCAAAGCCAAATAAAGTAAGAAACTTGGCACAATGGTATAGAAAAAATCAATAGTAGTAGTGACTACTAGTGGTCTCACCCAATACTGTCCTGTCTTAAGGAGATAGGAACCACCCCGGCTCGGCTGGTGAGCCCGACGGTCGGTTTAATCCCGACCACCGAGTTCTGATTCGCTGGACAAAGAATGGAACCATCAGTTTCAGTTCCAATTGACACAGCCACAAGATTAGCCGCCACTGATATAGCTGATCCACTACTTGACCCACACGGATTTGCTGATAAAACATATGGATTCTGCAACCATTTACAAACTTTTTGTAAGATATTTGGTAAAGTTTGCAACTTTCTTGTAAAATTTGCAAATTTTCGATAAGAGAAAATGAATTGAATATCATGGAATGAAGAAATTAGACCTTTCCTTGGAGGCCACGTGCGCTCCAACCATCTGGAATGGAGAAAGATCTGAAATGAGCCCATTCACTTAAACTGGCTTTGCCCAAGATCACAGCACCAGATTCTCTCAGCTTCTTGACAACACTCGCGTCTCGAGCCACGACCGAACCAAGCAAAGCCAGTGAACCAGCGGTCGTGTTAAGCTTGTCCTTGGTGGAGATCGAGTCCTTGAGCAGAACAGGAACACCGTGCAAGATTGGAAGTTCAGTGATGTCTTTGAGCTCGCGTTCTCTATCTGCGATCTCTGCTTGGATCAACGCGTCTGGATTCGTCTCGATGATTGCGTGGAGTATCGGATTGAGTTTTGAGATTGATTCGAGATAGAACTCAACGAGCTGCTTTGATGTTAGTCTTTTCTCCTTGAAAGCAAGTCTGACTTCTTCAATGGTGGTTTCTTGGATCGAGAATGTTGAGGTGAGCTTGATGTGAGAAGGTGACACAGATTTCACAAGAAGAGCTTGAGCAAGAAGAAAAAGAATGAAACGCAGAGAAGCCATTGCTAGAAAGAAAAAAAAGTCAACGCCAAGTAGCCTTATTGCCTCTTTCATTTGGTTATGTATTTTATGTGTTTTTTTAAGGATTGTGTAATTGTAGTTGGCAAAAACTCTAGTTTAATCAAGCTTACTTTTG